TGTCTAAGTCTCTTGTGCTATACATCAACTTGAAAATTTAAAGACTCTTCACTAGACTCTTGCCTCGGACTAGTCCTTTCACTAGGACTGATAGAGGAGATGTTGCAGCAGAGTTTATTTGAGAAAGTTGACTTCTGAGAGTGATACTTAGAGTTTTGGTGGGGAAAATCCAGTTGATACAACCCTTCCTTAAGCTTCCCTTGCATCATTATTTCCCTCGTTAGCTTATCCATAACAAAACAGTAGTTAGAATGAAATTCCATATAAACTTGATTATCAGATGTTAACTGTGAAACACTAATGAGGTTTTTCTTGATCTCAGTTTACATGAAGCAGTTTATTTAATACAAGTGCTTTATCATTCAAAGTTGGGATGTGAGTGATACCAAAGTGTGAAATGTGTAACTTGTTCCCATTTTCAACCATAATTTTTTCCTTACCAGTGTACTCATTTACTGAAGTAATATTTCCCTTCTCTTGAGTGATGTGGTTACTGGCTCCAGTATCAGTAAACCATGCAAGATCATTTATAGTGCTGGAAAACGCTACAAAGGCTGTTACTGAAGTGCTATAGTTGATCATCTGGTTTGGTGATGTTCCTGTGTATCTCTTATCATATCTAAAGTTGCATATGTTAGCCTTATGTCCAATCTAACCACATACTTAGCATATAGGTCTGTCACCACCATTTACATTTCCACCTCTGTTTCTGCCCCTTTTTCCACCTCTGAAATTGTTGTAGTTTGAGAATCTTCCACCAAAACGTAGCCTATAGGATCTGATGTGATGATGGTTCGAGCTTGAGCTTTGGGAAAAATTAAATGATGTTTGATCAAGATTGATTCCTACCATCTCATTCCTAACTGTGTTGAGATGCTCCAATCCGCTTTCAAAAGTCATAAGTGTTGATTGCAGTTCTCCCCAAGTGATGTGATCTATGTTGCTAATTTGAACAACAATTGGTGTGTATTCTTCATCCAAGCCAACCAAAACTTGAGTAACCAGGTCAGAGTGAAGAATGGCTTTGCCAGCGACTTCAAGATTTTCTGCTAGCAGCTTCACTTTGTTCAAGTATTGATCAATGCTCATAGATCTGGATCTGTTTTGAACTCCGTAGCTCTCCTTCACGGCTGTCCACAGTTCATTGGAGTTGCTAGCACCCATGACTCTCATAGCTATGTTAGGGGTCATTGAAGAGTAGAGCTAGCCCATTAACAATTGACCTGTTGACATCCATTGATTATGTTCAGGATATTTGGTAATTTCAACACTAGTTCTTGCTCACCAGTGACTTGGGTTCCAATGAATTCTGCAGGGCACATTTTTGTCCCCGGAATGTAGCCTTCACGGTTGTGTCCACGAATGATAGGCAGAATCATATTTTGTCATAGCAGAAAACTGTTCTTCTCAAGTTTAACTGATACTACTTAGGTTAGATTAACACCAAAAGGTGAGAGATGGTTGCTTCCCTGCATTGGAGCAATGGTGCTGCTTGAGATTGACACGGGAGCAGAGTTGGGATCAGTGTTTTGTGGTGTGTTGTCGGCGTTGGCCATGGTTTCTGCTCTGATACCAAGTTAGAAATGCAAAACCAATTGAATGATAATTCAATGATGTCTCATTGCTTCAACATGTTAATATATATTACAAAGAATGTGAAGATAATATTTTGGGTGTACAGCTGTAGGTCAATTCCTTGATTTATGGAAGATGTTAGGAATCTATTTTACAACACAAAACTAATGGCAGTTTTCTTGTTTAACAAAATATGATACAGCAAGGATAACAGCAGGTGATGGTTAGTTGTCAATTTAGTTGGAGGCTGATGTGGAGCTGAAACCTGATGATGTGAACGTTAACTCCTGACATAGGTGGACCAACATAATCCTCATTCGTATCCTCACCCAAACTAAAATATATTAGATTGGGATGGACGAAAGGGCTTTCGTAATCAACAAAGCAGATAGACTCGTGAAAAGCTAAGCGTCTGCGATTTTCAACCCATCGTGATAGAAAATTGTCCATTAGATGTTTCAACACTTCTGTTTGTCGATGTAGTTGTTCTATCTCTATATGTTGTGCCAACTGCCAACATGATTTTCGGCGTCATTGTTATAACTCACGCGTCACATGATTTTCACTATTTCAAGAACACCCACATGCCTTTGTTAGAAATATGATTGCACTCTAATACCAAACTGATGCAGTAGAATAATAAGGAATGATGATTGACACTCCAATAATACACCAACCTTGTGTCGTTGTAGTTTATGTAATAAATTAACGTTAATCGCGTGTATATCGGATAGCATTGAATCATGTTATTTATCTATAATGCAAAGATGCAATCCGTTTACCATATACATATCGAATTTACCAAACGAATGAATGTCAACACTTAATCAATTAAGTTTACAAATATATTCTATAATAAAGGATATGAGTTTGAACTGGGAGGAAGGAGTTATTATATTTCCTTCCATTCGTCCAAATATGTGAATGAGAAAGTTTCATTTTAAAGCAAATCTTAATTTCAGATTTTTGTAAGCGTTCTTTTTCATCTGATGAAAACTGTAATTAATGTTCATGCAAATTAGAAATAATAAACTTTGAACCACATTAAATTGAAGCGTAAATTTGCAAATTTCTAATATAAGTAAGGATATTATGGTCCAAAAATGTTTTTTCGACTTATTCACTTTTACTTATCTTATAGAACCCTGCTATGAGTACATGGATTTTTGCCAGAAAACGTACAGAAATTTCAATGAAGGGAAAATATTGAAAGATTGGAGGAGTGAAAATACACACAATGACAGGATTGAAGCATTTCAAATATCTGGCCAAAATTCTTGTACTCAAGGAATTTTTCTATGTTATAACTCGTAAATTTATAAACTTTGCCTAATTGAGGTTAAGTCGCGTGTCGCCCAATTTAATCAAACTTATTTTTAACCACATTCTTTCAATAAAATATTATTTTAAGTTTCTGTCCTTTTTTGGTAGTAGGAAAGCTAATTTAGTGTAGCTTGATTACTAATTCTTTTCATGTCAATTTGTTAGGAACAAAGTCCAACAGAACTTTTTACATAGACGAGAATCACATAGCAACCTTGAAATTAAAAATAATTTTATAAGAATACATACATATTGACTTTCCCTAGAGTAGGGTTTAGAAAATTTAGGAGAGAATCTTTTAATTAACTGGATTTGTGGGAGTGTCAACATTCTTCAGGGATCGAGGTGACTAAAACAAAGAATCTATGTCGTTCAAATGGTAAGATCCGAATGCTTAAATCCAAAAGTAGTTGACTAAAATATGCTTCAATTTATTTATTAAGAATTGATGTTCTATTTTAAAAATTCAACGTTGTTAAGAGCAGAGCAATAGCTTGAACTCTTATATGTTATTTATTTACTTTAAGCATGTTTGGCTAAGATTAAAATTCAATTAAAATTGAAAATATATTCGTTATTGGGTCCCACTCATCTAATAAAAGTCAACAATAACGACTAATTTTTCAATTTTAATCCGATTTTAATCTCTACCGAACACGTCATTTATCTTTAATCAATGTGGGATATTATCCTTAACATGACTATAAGATATTTACTCGTTTGATATCAACAATTTTAGAATTTGATTGTTCATTTAAGCTGTTTTAAATAGATCTTTTTTTTTTTTTCCAGAGTTGGAATTTCATCTTAAAATATAAATCTTTTTAAGAAAAGTACTCCAAACTCTTATACGCTCTCTTTATTGTTTTATTTTTTACTGTTGTTGGATATGTCAACTAACAATACCAGATATGGTTTTAACGTGAAATATAAATTATGGATTACAAGTCGAGAGATTGGATGGTTTGGAAGCCAAGAGATTTGAATTGAATTCTATGCAGCAAGGATCATATGGATTACAATTCAAGAGATCGGGATGGTTTGTAAGCCAAGAGATTTGTATAGAATTATAGGCAGCAAGGAGATGTTATGACTTGTCATATGTTATTTTCAAGAAGAGAAGAAAAGCATCTCAAACTTTCGAATAGATATGGTAAGAGGTGTCATTTACATGTAAATCGAGATGTTAACTTGATATTTTGTAAGAAAGTCGTAACTTAACGACTCAATATATCGTCCTTTTCGAACTATAAGTCAATGAAATAAAAACATGGGATTGGGGGGAGGGCAGAATTCATGAGCATCACAAAAAGACGGACCCATTAGATATTTTTCAAAAGATTTTTGTCTCATAATTGATCTATAGCACTTCTTGGTGCAAGTGCTTGCAATTCTAATTTATGTTCTTGTTCGATTGGAACTAATATCAGATTTTTGGTATATTTAAAGTTGATAAAATGTGTTGTTGATCAAATTAATTGTCGACTTTGATTTAGATTAAAATTTTAAATTTAATCCTCACCATAAGGGCTATGAGTGATGGAGAGGTCAAATTTTACATACTTATATTTGTGACATGGAGAAGATCCTTTGTTGGGAATCAGTGGCGTCCCCCTAAAACTGCCAAGAAATTGAAGCAAATATATGCATGCTAAAAGAGTGCAAAAAAAAAGACTTGCTTTTCTAACATAAAGTGAATACAACAAAAAATCTAGCTACAACATCATTATTGCTTATACTTTTCTCCTTATGGCTGAAATTAATAGGAGAATTTTTCACTTTCATTCAAATTCCACGAGCAAAAATGTACTGCATAATAATCACAGGCTTAACAGTGAAGTGGACCATCAAACCCTAGAAAAAAAACAGGCAACTTTCTACATGCAGTGATACGAATGCCCAGCTTGTGATTGCCAAGTCAATTTTTTTTCATGTCTCGTTCAAACATGCAATGGACCCCCTCCCCCACCCCCCTTCTGACAGTTCACAAGATCTTTTCTCCTTCTCGATCTTGTAGGTGCAGTCCCGCATATGGAGGCTTCGCCTTCTGAATTTACTTCGTCTTCTCTGTAAAATTTGCTTAGTTACCATTTTAGGAGACCTCAGTGATTTTTGCTGTAATGGCTCAAGTCCATTGCAGAACCCATTAAAGCAAACTTTGATAACTCATTCTGTTGCAAGAATTGTCGATGTTCACTTCCTTCCACTCCAAGAAAATCTCTAGTGAGACTGTTTGTAGCTTCACTTCCAGTTGATTGGTTTTGATTCCCAGTAATCTTTGACATCATCATTGCAGGGTCTGAATTTCTTGAACTGCCCATTATTGGGCTAGCGGGTATATCACCAAGGAACAAACCATCTCCGTGATTAGTAGACATTGTTGAAGCACACGTGGAAACCATTAATCCATTCAAATTCTCAGCTTTTTCAAGATTCTGAACTTCATTTCTGCTTTGGTTCAAAGAATTGAAGTTGCAAAGACTAGAAAAAGATGAGCTCATTAGCCCAAAATCAGTACCAAAAATGGCAGAGCTGCTTCTGGTTGACCCCATTTGGGCTGCTTTCTGCAATAGTGCAGTAGCAGACATAGGAGCTGGTAGATTTGTTTCTGGCTGATTATGGGTATTGGTGTAATACAATGAATTTATGGTTTCAGTCAAATTTCCTTTGTTTTCTTCTTCCTCTTTCAGTACCCTATTCAATGCAGAAGATGAAGAATTTCCACCTGTAAATGATAACACTTGGCCCCTACTGAACCACTGATTCTGTGAAGCCATTTGCACCAATTCAGGCAAGCTTGTTGAACTTGTACCCAAGAAAGCATTAGAACCAGTTGGATTTCCAATGGAATTCAGATGAGAATTGGCATTTTCTAGCCAAATTGGCAGCCTCGGTTTTTGCAAATCCAGATTCAGCTGGTTTCCTTGTTCCAATCCTGTAAGTTCTGGCCTAAAAACACCAGAAAACTGCGAGCTACCAGCATTTTGAATATTACTAAGCAATTCGTTTCTGAAACTCAAATTTGCAGAAGGAACTGAAGTAAATCTTTCACTTTCTTCTGCTAATGCATCACAAAAGGCTCTGTGTGTGATAAAGCTATCCTTTCTGTTTGATATATACAAACCAAACTCAATTTAATTTACCAGACATTTACGAATTGCATTAAATTCACATGAATCTCGAGCATTTATGTCACAACAAACTAATCCTAGAATACTACACATGATTTTGTAATAAATAGAACTTTATATATATATGATGAAGAAGTTCTATTGAAGTACCTGGAGAAAAGGGTTCCACAGTCACATTTATATTCTCTAGTCCCACAAATCTTACTATGAGCTTTCCAATCAGACTGAACAGCGTATTTTTTCGAGCATTTTTCGCACTTCCATTTTTTTTCTCCATGCTTTCTGCTGTAATGTTTCTTGATTCCTGTAAGATCTCCGAGTGCCCTTGAAGGGTCATGATGGACACAGGTTTTTTCAGGGCATATGTAAACCTTCTTTCTGATTACTTCTTTGTTGTTTCTTTGTTTAAGCTTCCATGGCAGATTATGACCTCTTCTGTGTAACTGCAAATTCTGGTCCCTTTGGAAACCCTTGTTGCAAATTTCACATATGAATCTGTTTGTTGCCATCAGAGACTTTGGGGACAGTGCTATCACTTCTGCATCTGGATCTACATGTAAATTAACCAAATCTTAATTACATCAACCAAGAAAAAAAAAATCACAAAAATGAAACAGAAAACTGTGATATCATTAACTATTCTTGCCTGGGGTTCCTGGAAGATTTCTTTTCCTCTTGGCCTGGTTTGAATTAGAACTGTTAGGATTGGGATTTGGATTTGGATCTTGAATGAACCCTCTAATGGAAGAAGAAATCCCATCATCAGACATCATTTTGTGAGACTATCGAAACCTGAACTAAATCTGAGCAAAATTTAAGAGTTGATGTAGCTGGTGTATATGTACAACAAGAACATAGAAACAAGAATTTACTGAAAATAGTTAAATCCTTCAAAAATTCTTGTAACTTCACTGGAAACAAAATGAAAATGGAACACCAAACTTGATTACATCAGTACAGGTGAAGATTTGCTTTGTTGCATGTTGAATCTTAGCAGAAAATGCACATCTACTGTGAAACCTAGCTCAAGAGAGAATATTTCTTCTCTTTCTCTCACTCTCTCTCCTTATCTTCTCCAAAGTCGGTCAGCCATAGACTTTAGTTGGACCCCTTTCTCTTTCTAACATTTGCATATCTTATCACTAGCTAGCATAATAAACCAATTTTTTTGAAATGACCTCAACACATTTGAGTCGAAAAAGATAAAGGGTGAAATTTTAAATGATTAGACGGGAATGAATTACAGATTTAAGAATTAAAAAAGTAATAAATTCATTAAAATAAGAGATGAAAATCGTATTACAAAAAATAAAAAATAAAAAACCGCTTTTAATGATAAAAGTTTGTTGTAAAAAAGTTAAATTATTTTGTTTAGTTGAAAAATGGACATTGAGAAACTTTCGAGACAAAAGTTTTCGTTGCTAAACATTAAAAAATTTGTGGTCCAACTTTCATCCGTCTTTAATATATATATATATTTTTAGGTTATAACCAAATCGTGATGTTTTCATAACAGCATAATAACTAAATCTAGCTCGATTATTAGCGTGTACACTTGCTAACTTATAATTAAAATGGAATTCATAATGAAATAATGTTATGTAATACAACTAATGCTTTACATCGATCTATGGATCACCGCCATATTGTCCAATAAAATTGTGATGAATTTAATAAATCATTTAGACAAGAATTAAGCATCACTTATACTACATAGTATTACTCTTCACAATATCAAATAATTACAAGTCATACGATTTCAAGGATACGAAAACTATTTGCAAAGAAAAAACTTAGTTCGTAACATTCTTTCGACAAAATTTAATAAATTATTTATAAATAATCAAACTCAGTTATTCATAATTTCTAGCCAATAGAGGCTTTTTTTTTCATATTTCTCAAAGAATATTCGATCATGCCACAGTGACACAATGGCTGGTTGACACGATATCATGTAACGTTCTATCATTGGACGGTTTAAAATACGATCACAAGTTTCATCCAATCACAAAATGCCACACATTCTTCTGTCAAACAATCTGGCACAATTCTACTGTTAATGTGGCATTTTCCTTTAGCTTTTTCCGTAGTTCCCAAAAGCCATTTTTACTGCAGCTAGCAGCAAATGAGCTCAAGAATCGAGAGGACAATAAAATGTGAAAGTAAAAGGCAGAATCAACTTAGGTCACAAAAAGTTTTGAAATAAAAAGTGAATTGTCTTTACAGCAGTAGATCCGGTAAGAATGATTATACCATTATTATTTTTGGACCGTGATGAGAGAGAAACAAGAGAGAGAAAGAGAGTAGTGAATATTTGAATATCTATACGATGCCGTCTCGTGAAGGGTTGAGAGGAGGTTAGATTCAGAGGGAGATTAGGTGAATGTTGTGTGGGCCCATTATGCTGTCATTTTATTTATTTTTTTTGAAAAAATAAATAAAAAGAATATATGTCACTCATGTTCATGCATCGAAATGGTTTTAGGGTCATTACCAAATATATTTAAAGATTGAAAAATTATTTATGAACACTCTTACATAAAATAGTTCATGCACGATTTAAATATATAATTCTTGATTACTCTGCAAATGGGTTCGTTATGGATCATGAAAAGAAGACAAATTAGTAAAATAATACTCAATGATCACTATACATAATAGAATTAGTATTAAGTATCGCCGTCGATAGTTAGTATTTACAAACCATTAAAATTTGTATAGTTCACTAACCATTCAAATATAGAAGTTTGATTATTGACTATTTATGTTACTATATAAAGTACTTTACAGGTTATAATTGAAGTTGTATATAAATAGCTTGTGCATGTATACTTGTAGTTATCAATGCTGCATTATTACATATGCAAAAGTTTATAACAAAGACAAGAAATGACTGGTACCACTTGACATGTCGAGTAGCCCACGAGACACGCACGTTTCTCTAAAAATTCTCTCCCTCACACTCTAATTTCTCTATGTCATCTGATTGGTTTAGTTGAAAAAAAAAAAAAAACTCAAATAAATAAATTTAACAATTAATTTAAATTATACATTTTACAGAATTCATTTTTATTAATTTTTTAACCACATAATCCATCAATTTTTATTAAAATCTACTAAAAATTTAGGGGCTGTTCTTTTTGCCGTTTTCATCCCGTTTTCCGTTTTCAATTTTTCAAAACAGTGAAAATACGTTTACTTACCTATTTTCAAAAATGAATTTCAAAAACCGAGTTTAAATTTTACAAAGATAACCAAAAATGTCAAAAATGTCGTTTTTGGTGTTTTCAGTTAAAACAAAGCCAGAATTTTCAAAATGTGTTTTGGCTATTTTCAGTTACGCCACCAACAAAAAGCACCGCAATCGCCGCCTGCACCACACCGCCACCGCCGCACCGCCAAAACCACAGTCAGCGACGTCGCGACCCAAAACCACCACCACCACCATGCAGTCACAACCGTCGCACACCGCAGCCACAACCACGACCCAAAACCTTTGCACACCACGTACCCAAAACCACCAGACACCACAACCACGACCCACAACCGCCGCACACCACCACCATAGCCATAACCAACCCAAAATAGTCGTTCACCACGCACCCAAAGCCACCGCACACCACCGCCACAGCCACAATCGTGACCCAAAAAATCGTTGCACACCACGCACCCAACCACCGCAGACCACCACTGCTCGTCACGATAGCTCTGTCGGTGGCCTTACGAGGGAGACGACAAAAAGGAGGGAAATGAGAGAGAGAAAGAGACAAGGGGAAGAAGAGAACAGCTTTTCCAATTTTTTTATTTTTGAAAATAATTTTTCAAAATGACAAAAAAAAAAAACATTTTCAAGAATCTCAAAATACAAAATTCAAAATGAATTCAAAACGAAAAACTGAAACACGAAGAGAACAACCTCTTAATTTTTTAACAATCGTTTTGTCTGTGATGCATAAATATTTGTTACTTCACATAAGTTCATGTCATTTTGATACCTCCACGCAGTGACGGATCCAGCACTCGGTGAGGAGGTGCGACCATGTGTGCTGGATCCGCTGGAATTTATAGGCGCGGCTGCCATGAATAATTATAGACACTACATGGAAGAAGAAACGGGAGGAAGAAATAGTGTATTTGGGCAATTTTTTTCCTTTTATAGATTTTGGATCTTTTCTTTTGTTGGGCTTTAAAAAAAAAAAAAAAGAGGAAATTACATGGCTCCAGGCATTTAAACTTCACTGTCCAAATTTCAGGTGTCAAAGTTTTTTAATCATAATTCAGGTAATTAAAAATTTAAAACCCTAATTTTCATTTTTCCCATTTTCCCCTCCCTATCGCCTCATTCTCGTCTTCCTCCCCTCCCCTTTCTCTCTCGGCTTCCCCCTGCCCCTTCTCTCTCTCACTCTCTGTACACTCTCTGTGAATGGAATGACAACGTCAAGCGTGCAGGTGGTGGCTCACGGGGCTGAGGCGACGCTCCCCTCTCCCTCTCTGTCCTTCCTCTGTGAATGGAACGGCAGCAATGCTGTTGCTCCCCTCCCCCTCCCCTCTTTGTCCTCTCTGTGAATGGCGTCGAGCATGCAGGCGATGGTTCACAGCCCAACGGTGACACTGCAATGAACGGCGGTGACTCAAGGCGGTGGGGAAGATCTGACGGATGAGGCGGTGGCTCAAGGCGACTGATGAGGCGGTGGTTTTTGTGTGGTGGATCTGGCGATTTTTGTTGTGGTGGTGGATCTGGCGGTAGCTATGGCAGTTGTATGGTAGTGATGTTTTGTGTGGTGGTGGTGGTTCATTTTTTTATCTGTGACCTAAAAATTATATAATTTGTGATCGTAAAAAATCTGTGACCAATTACTTTGGAAATTTGTGACCGTGTGACCTATAAATTTTGATATGTGACCAACTAATTTTGAAATCTGTGACTAACGAATTAAATGTGACTTATAAAATTTTTGAACTGTGATCATTAAATAATCTGTGACGTATAAAAATTAGTATTTGTGACTGAAAAATAATATGTGACTAATTCAATTATAAATCTGTGACCGGAATGGTCGCCGGAATAGTCGTCGGAATCGGAGCAGTCGTCTTAATATGTGACTAATTAAATTATAGATCTGTGACTGGAATGGTTGTCAGAATAGTCGTCGGAATGGTTGTCGGAATCGGAGCAGTCGCCGAAATGGTCGTCGGAGAAGAGTAGTCGCCGGAATGGTGGCCCGAATAGTCCCCGTAGCAGTAGGGGTGGTGCATGTGGGGTGGGTTTATTATATTATATTATATTAGAATTAAAAAAAAAAAAAACCTGATTTTTGAATTTACAAACTATAAACATGATTTTTGAATTGTTGTAAACGAAACACCTTATTTATAAATTTTTCGCAAAAAACAATTGGCCTATTAAAAATTGCAAAGGAAATAAAATTCAATAGTCCACAGAAGCCAAACCCTATATTTTATGGACTACCTCCCGACTCCTTTTTCTCCTGTAGCCGCACTGTCGCAGCCCCGACTCACACCGTCACAAGGCACGTCGGCACTGTCCGGCGTCTCGCTTGCTATTTTGTATACAGAAACATTTTACATTTTCCAAGGGAATTTACTGTAGAATGAATATTTTTCACCTTTACATATCCTTCTGTTTTAAAAGCTTTTGGGAAATAGTAATACTTGTGGTCGATCAAAATCAAATTGGAAAATTTTGGATTAATTGAGATTTTAGGGTTGATTATACCAATGGCCAACTATATTCTAATTTTGTGTTGAATGTTTAAGCACTGAAGAGCTTTTGTCATATTTTTCATGTTACTCAAGTTCTTAAATTCTTCACCTTTCTTATAATAAATTGGTTAAAGTTTGATATTCCGCTTTTGGATCGCAATAATATTTTTGTTATAGTAGACTTTTTCTTGTTTGAACGCTGGAGGAGAAGCAACGTAAGAATCAAAAAAGACAGATAAAGTCCAAATTATATGTCTTGCAAGGTTCTACATAATCTTTTAAGATCAATCAACAAAAATTAGAAATTTCGACGGATTTTGAGTTTGGTTCTGTATCGTTAGAGTTTGGTTTAGGGTTCATATTAATAAATACATCTCAATCGAGTTCAGAAGTTACGGATAATTCCGCTTTGCCACTATTAATAACAGTGCCATTATATTCAATTGCTAAAGATAAACACATTTGCATTATTAGGCCTCCATATAGGTACATGGATGTTGATTTAACTTTTAACTGTCTATGCTTTGAATGTAGTTGAAGATTTTAGCCAAGGCTATTAAAGAATTAGTTGTCATGGTTCTGATAAAGGGCATGTTTTTACCCCGTTTGGTGATTATTAAATCATTTGTGATTTTTTATTGCTCGCGATTCGAGCAAATTTGGCACCCAAGATAATACTACAGATGAGCAGTGTTTTGATTCTTACTCAGATAGGGTTAGTTCTGAACTTGATGATTTTATTGTTTGTGGTGATTCGAGCAAATTTGGTGCCAAAGGTAATTCTGCTAGTAAGTAGTGTTTGGATTTAGTTCATATTTGTTGAGTTTGCCATTAGGGATTTTGTGGAAGAGGTGGAGTAATTTGTTTAGAGAATTTTGTTGGAGTTAAAGAGTCAAGTTTTATTCTTTGCAATGGAATTTTTTTCTAATTGGAGAATTTTTTGAAGTTTTGTTCATGGCAGTGGAATTCGCATCAATGTTGAGTTTATTAGAATTAGAGTATGACCCGAATTCTATTTTGGAGGTATATTTTAGTTGTTTGGTTTGAAGAAGTCTTAAAGAAATAGAATACTACAAGGAGTCAAACAGTGTTTTGGACTCCTATTTCAACTCAAATATTTCGTTATTGGTATAATAGGATTTCACCTTATGATAGACTCTTATTTATATTATATTCTCCTGATGTGTTAGGAATTTTTAGTATTATAAATATATGGTGTACAATATATATTTTGATTATCTAAATATCCAACAGGTTAGTTGAGATCGGACATATTGTAATCCTTATTTTTGATATATTGAATTCTTCGTCTCTGCTCGTGATTTTTCTCTTCTTGGGTTTTACGTATATCTTGTGTTTTTGTGATCATTAATTTTTTATATTGTTGTATTATTTCTCGCATTTAATTCTCAACAAGTGGTATCAGAGCGATATGTAATTTTTAACAAGTGACTCAATTTCTAACGGATGACTTAACTCTAGGCCTATTCGTGGAACACTTCATATTCATTCTCTCCGATAGTTTTTGCACCATTATATTTCTCAACATTTGTTCATTATCATACTTATATTCTCAATTTTTTACTGTTGTATTTTTATTCCTGACTTTCTATAATAATTATCACATCTTGATCTCGTTGACGGTTCCGTACAAAAAAAAAAAAAAATAGAGATGGAGTNTGTTGAATGTTTAAGCACTGAAGAGCTTTTGTCATATTTTTCATGTTACTCAAGTTCTTAAATTCTTCACCTTTCTTATAATAAATTGGTTAAAGTTTGATATTCCGCTTTTGGATCGCAATAATATTTTTGTTATAGTAGACTTTTTCTTGTTTGAACGCTGGAGGAGAAGCAACGTAAGAATCAAAAAAGACAGATAAAGTCCAAATTATATGTCTTGCAAGGTTCTACATAATCTTTTAAGATCAATCAACAAAAATTAGAAATTTCGACGGATTTTGAGTTTGGTTCTGTATCGTTAGAGTTTGGTTTAGGGTTCATATTAATAAATACATCTCAATCGAGTTCAGAAGTTACGGATAATTCCGCTTTGCCACTATTAATAACAGTGCCATTATATTCAATTGCTAAAGATAAACACATTTGCATTATTAGGCCTCCATATAGGTACATGGATGTTGATTTAACTTTTAACTGTCTATGCTTTGAATGTAGTTGAAGATTTTAGCCAAGGCTATTAAAGAATTAGTTGTCATGGTTCTGATAAAGGGCATGTTTTTACCCCGTTTGGTGATTATTAAATCATTTGTGATTTTTTATTGCTCGCGATTCGAGCAAATTTGGCACCCAAGATAATACTACAGATGAGCAGTGTTTTGATTCTTACTCAGATAGGGTTAGTTCTGAACTTGATGATTTTATTGTTTGTGGTGATTCGAGCAAATTTGGTGCCAAAGGTAATTCTGCTAGTAAGTAGTGTTTGGATTTAGTTCATATTTGTTGAGTTTGCCATTAGGGATTTTGTGGAAGAGGTGGAGTAATTTGTTTAGAGAATTTTGTTGGAGTTAAAGAGTCAAGTTTTATTCTTTGCAATGGAATTTTTTTCTAATTGGAGAATTTTTTGAAGTTTTGTTCATGGCAGTGGAATTCGCATCAATGTTGAGTTTATTAGAATTAGAGTATGACCCGAATTCTATTTTGGAGGTATATTTTAGTTGTTTGGTTTGAAGAAGTCTTAAAGAAATAGAATACTACAAGGAGTCAAACAGTGTTTTGGACTCCTATTTCAACTCAAATATTTCGTTATTGGTATAATAGGATTTCACCTTATGATAGACTCTTATTTATATTATATTCTCCTGATGTGTTAGGAATTTTTAGTATTATAAATATATGGTGTACAATATATATTTTGATTATCTAAATATCCAACAGGTTAGTTGAGATCGGACATATTGTAATCCTTATTTTTGATATATTGAATTCTTCGTCTCTGCTCGTGATTTTTCTCTTCTTGGGTTTTACGTATATCTTGTGTTTTTGTGATCATTAATTTTTTATATTGTTGTATTATTTCTCGCATTTAATTCTCAACAAGTGGTATCAGAGCGATATGTAATTTTTAACAAGTGACTCAATTTCTAACGGATGACTTAACTCTAGGCCTATTCGTGGAACACTTCATATTCATTCTCTCCGATAGTTTTTGCACCATTATATTTCTCAACATTTGTTCATTATCATACTTATATTCTCAATTTTTTACTGTTGTATTTTTATTCCTGACTATCTATAATAATTATCACATCTTGATCTCGTTGACGGTTCCGTAAAAAAAAAAAAAAAAATAGAGATGGAGTGGTGGCTAAAAATTAGTTCCAACATCAACACTGACGAGCTAAGCAGTGGGAAAGTGAAATGATAAATAGAGCGATGATATCAGATTTGAACATTTAGGAAAAAGTTGTGCACAACACTCAAGAGAGGGTGAGAATAAAAATTTATATTTTAAGAAAAGTAAAAAAAATAAATTATTAAAAAAAAAAATTGTATGGGGTTCAGTGGCCCCACATGTCACTTGTTTCTCCACAATGTGGCTTCTGCACCCGTCGTAACCATTAAGTGTTTAGCACAAATGCCTAAGCCATAGTTCCTTAACGGGCTTGTTTAGTCATGACTCAAAAGCGAGGGCGGACAACTTATTAACAAGTAGTTGAACATAGGAGATGTTGATTGACATATACGATACGATGGATCATCTAGGGTCCAATCTTCGGGAAGCACGTCCATATTGTTTGCATCGAGTAATGTCTTGTTCCAATTTTCGGGAAGCACGTCTATGTTGTTTGCATCGAGAATGTCTTGTTTATTCAATCAAACTTGGATGTCATATCTTAACGCGTACCAGTAATGTTGACTAAAGGAAAATTGTGCGATTTTCTTGAGTAGCTTTTTTAATTGAAAGATTTCTCAAATTATAGGAGTTTTGAATAGGTTCTCGCCAATTTATTATTGATAAGGGGAAACATATTAATTAATGACTTGGAGAATACAACGTCTACGAGAACAAACGAAATATTACCTACTTAAAAAGGGTTGGAAGACCATGCAATTGACAAGTAACAATATGAACAAATCAAAGACTTCACCAAGGATTCTTTTAGTAACAGTATTAATTTGGTCCTAGACCATAATTTAAGTATTGGATAAAGTCTTTTCTTATAGAACAGTCTTTGAAACCGTCTCCAAAAGTAGTACTTTAACTTTTCGTCAATTTCTTCAAATTGCTCGTCTTTACGAATTTATTCAAGATAACAAAAATTAACTTTTTTAAGTTCAATAAAGGTTAATTTCGACATGTCGCACAAATTAATATATATATATATATATAGATTACAAAATCTCAAGTTACACAAATGGGAGAAAATAGAGGCCCAAGGATTAAAAAAGTTGAATAAAAATGTAAATGAAATGGGCAAATTTTACTACATGATCTCTATGGATATATATATCTCTGAATCCATGTTGCGCAGATATCCATCTCTATTATCACAACCAACGTGCTGCTAGGACACCAACTCCAAGGGGCATCACCATCAGCATGCCATGCATGGCAAGACCAATTGTCCCCGAGTCATCTGCCGGGACATCATCACTGCCAGATACCGGGGCATCAGCAGCCGGTAACTTCTTCTTGGCTAGTGCCGATGGGGCCGGGACTGGTGCAGGTGAACCAAAAATGCTCAAAGGAAGAAGAACCTTGTCCACTTGATATACTGCTAGCTGGTTGTCTGTGTATATTGTGTTAGCCACCGTGGCATCGTCCACACCGGTCGAAACATTCACTTGGTTACCCGAGGTGGTCACATTTAGAGGAAACTGCCCATTATCGTTGTTTCCGGCCTGAGTCCTCAATGGATTGCTCGCAGTTTGGAACTGTGACATGGAGAGAAAAGTGGGCAGTACGTGAAATTGCACCAATGCAACCTTCTGCTGATCACTTAGGGAATTTAGAGTGCCGGATTTTAGGCTAGAAAAGGCATTATCAGTCGGCACAAATACTGTTAAGCCCTGGTTTGAGTTGTTGAGTTGTGTATTTATCTGGTCTCCTACTTGAGTAATTGATAAAAGCCGGATGAACATGGTGAACTGGCCGGCCTTTTCGAGGATTTTGGTTATGTTGGTTGGACCAGCTGGTGCCGGTGCCGGCGCCGGTGCCTGAGCTGGTGATTGAGCAAAGGTTTTGGTGCCGTAAAAGAGAAGTACAAGAAGTAACATAGAGAAAGCGAAGTGGTCCATTCTGGGAAGGAGATTGATTTGAATTATGGAGACTTGAGTCACAACAACGATGTACGAAGAATGATGTATTGGAACACTGAGGGGGATTTTATGGCTAGGAAGAGAAGAAAATGTTAGGTGAGGTGCCATTTTAGTTGATCTTTTAGCTAAAAAAAATATGACGGTTCAATACTGGTAAGAAGTCACAATTTTAGTTAGAACAATGAATCAATCTTGTTAGTTTTTGTTTTATGTGAGAGAAAGAAAGAGAGAGTTCCTATTTCAGCTGAAAGTTTGCTTGGAAATGCAGGAAAAACAGGCTATCTCAAAGGAGGGTTTGAAAAATGCAGATTTCTCTGATTGCTTTGCTTTCACTTGATTTCTCTGAAAAATGCAGAGTTCTCTGATTGCTTTGAAAAACAGGCTATCAAATAGTTACCATTTTTTATGGTAAGTCACTTGTTTTGATTTCTGAACTGTAATGTGCATTGAACAAACTTGAGAAGTAAGCTTACATTTGTAAATCAATGACACCCATAGGCCCCATATTCTTGCTTATGCTCAAATCATGCTTTTGCCTTTTGTGTTAGCTAAGTAATCCTATAAACTGTTCTAGAAGAGAACTTTACTTCGTCAACTTGTCCCAAAACGATATGTGCCAAGTACATAAAGTTGTCTGCTTTCCATAGTTCCAGTTCCACCAAAAAAAATGTGCAAGGAATTTGTGGCAAACTTACCATCAATTTTCCCGGTAGAAGCACAGAAAACTTTAGTGAAGGTTACACCAAATGAAATGAAAGCCCATCAATATCGGAACTGTAAAACAAATCTACAGTAGAAAGATGCACAAATCCTTTACAGTGCATGCTGTCCTTAATTATATTCATTGCAACGCTAATGATAATTTTCTGTTGTAAAAGAAACAGAGCCGAAATACTAGCACATTAATAACTACTCAAAGCCCCAGCTATGCTTCCTAGACAATGCGTAACTATAGCTGCTATACCAGAGAAATTTGCAAGAATGTAAGTGAATGAATAACCTCTCAAAGTTCCATCCAGATCGTTACTCAGCCATTGACATTTGTTTCAAAGCATCCTCGGCCTATACGTTTTCCGGAACAAAATCTACATGCGTAAAAGCAAAGAATAAATAATGGAATAAGACTCAGAAATTGGATACTTAAGACTCGTTAGAGTTTTACTTGAGAGTTTTATTAGGGGAACACAAGGAGAAGTACCTGAGAGAGTCAAATCTACTGTGCTTGGAAACTACCGATGCTGAAAGGACCAAAAGATGCATTTCATCACAAACATAGAGTAAATCTGAAATAGATAAATCTTTTTCCAGTTTTTGGACATCCATTTGCACAAGCAGAGAGTAGATTATGGCATTGATATGATCTGGACCGGTTGAGTTAAATATAATTGAGAACCTACTTGTGAAAACTTGGCTGCAACAGATGGATGATCCTACTTTAGGAATATCATGTAAACATTTTAATTTAGATGCAAAAAATACCTTGTTAGCGCACAAGCCTGTAATTTAGATGCAATAATTTGTTTTCACACCACTATTCACATTGCACAAAGGATAGAGTAACACATTCAATGAAGTTGATCTCCAACCCCCAATGGACAGAATAAAAACTTTCTTTTACTGACGTGACAAGAGAACTATAATTAAGGTGTTGACATGGCAAGAAAACCTCAATTATGAATCTCTGGGTCAAAGTTCAGATTATTAAACTCATGACTAGCCTTGACCCAACAAGAGATTGGATGGGACGGGAAGCTCGCGCTCTCAATAACCCTCATACCGCCATGGGGGAAGAGTCGTTAGAAAGACTTTATTACTTATTGGATGAGCTAAAACGGGGCGGAGTCGAATCTCATCTCACATTACACACTTGGTCAATATTATTCATGCTATTTACATTGTCATTTGCATTTGCATCGATTTTTTCTTTAATTGCTTGAAAAATGGGAAGTTTTTATTTTGCCCATGGGGCGAGAGATCAGGCCTGACACATTCGATCCCTTCCGAATTAAGTAGGAAAAATTATCCTTTTCTTGTCAAGATTCATGTTAGCTGAAAGATGTCTTATAAAGAAGGGGGGAAAAGGATGTTTAGCTAGGAACGTCTTATTTCTATAACATAAGATGTATTTTAGATACTATATGATAGCATGGCATGAATTAATTATGTGACACTTCCAAAACATACAAAACCAAAGAGTAAACTACCACCAAGATAAATGTTCTGATCTCCCATTTTAAGAAAACCATTGGCAGTCAACTTTATTGCTAGTTGGTTTTCGGAGACAAATTTGAATTCGTCTATCAAGAACGAATCGTGATACATGTACATCACTTTTTACATTGTGCCACGTGGCACGCTATCGGACAATTTAAAAAAACATACAGTTTTTTCACCAATCAAATCATACCAACTTCAATGCCGTCAAAAGTGATGTACAAATGGTACAAATGGCTTAACTCATCATGAGGTGACCTGAAGATTGCAAGTTATTTTGAAACAAGAAAATTGAAAAGAAAATATCTGAGGAACAGAACTATTCCAGGGCATATTTAAATCTCTGTATCATGAAATTGTAATTCCTACGGCATATGATGCTTCATGTCTTTCATTAGAAAAGATCTCGAGTAGCCCCAGTTTGGAGTTTGGATCTCATTTTGATGAGATTTGGCACCATAACATATTTTACTATAGGAACATGTGCATTTAAAAATTGAAAACTGCACATTTGTCAAATTCATATAAATATCAATTGAGTCGTTGAGATGTGAAGGACCAAAATGCCCTCTTCTCGTCAATGAAAATTATGCACCCTCAACACATTAACATGTGAAAATAGAATACATCAGTAAAAATGAATGTAATGCCTATTGTACTATGCATCTCAAAGAAAAAGTCCAATGGGGAACATCTAGTGTTGTTAACTGTTCCGTATATTGCAAGACGCAAAAATAATGAGGGCTGAACGGACGCGAAATTTACTTTCTTGTTTTGTGGTGAATGGTGACAACTTCAAAAGCCCCTATAACCGAAAGACTAATTCTGGAAAATTTCACAGAGCATGTGGACACTATTAAAAATCTTTTAATTTATAGTTGACGTGTAGAAGAAAAGGATAATGAATGAGAATTACCAATTTAAATGAAATTGGTCACAAAAGCAAAACCATGGTTAAAGGAGTTGATCAGGAAAGGGAAGAGGAAACTAGCTAGTTAACGAAGGTTATAACAAGTTATCTTAGATCAAACATGTCACAAAGTAGTGAGCAGACTTGCACAACACTAAACTCAGTGTTATGCACAAATTTTTACAATATAAATTAAAAATTTACATCTCATATAATTATTCTCCTGTAATAAAATCCATACTAACAAAATAAAAAACAATCAAAATAGTCATTTAAAAGTAAAAGTAAAAATATCATAGTCATCCAACAACTTAAAATATTATAATAATCCAACCTCAAGAAAAAAAAAATACTACATCATCCAAAATCCAAACTCTTGAAAAACAAATAATAAAATTGTCCCATAAGTTTTAAGCAGCATTCCGACAACAAAATAACAGAAATATTTAGAGAAAAATATTTGTATTAGTGATAAAGAGTTGTGCACACTGCAATACATTATACATCATGACAAAAAAAATAGAAAACACACAAATCACTTTGATTTAGCCTTAAGCCATAACATTCCTTGCAAGTTTGGACAAAGTACCATACTTATGTCCATTAACCCCCAACCAATTAAGAACATCAAAATCGTTGTCTTCTATATATTCACAAGCATCTGAAAAGTATCTATATGCATCATTTTTCCTCCAAACTTATTAGAGAGTTTGATACTATACTAAGTCCAAACTTCGATGGGATAGTCTTGAATTTGGCCTTGCATATTACCAACAACCAAAAAATGTATTTGTAACTCACCTAAAATTCAATCGCATGATGCTCCAAAATATTATATATTAACACGTGCAATCAATTCTTTGTTTCCAACTCATTCCAAATTCCAACATACATGCCTTTAGAGTGATTATATAATAGAAATTTAAAATAGTTCCATTCATTTGTCCTTACATGCACCAAAAGAAATAGTTTGAAGACCTAAATGTGACAGAAAAATGAATGGGGACCCAAGTGAGACAAGTGGTAATGTTAGGGAAACATGGACTAGAATTTTCCTAAATAAGAGAATTATGCTGAAAACAAGATTCTATAAGGAAGTTGATGCGGACATCAATCGAGATTTATTTTTATTGTGAATTTTTTATAATTTATATTTTCTATTATTAGGTTGGCTCAAACCCTTCACTACTAGGGTCAGGTTTTACTATTTATACGACTTTTATAATGTAATTGGAACAGTTGATGAATTGATAAAATTGATTTGGCTTGCAGCTAACGTTTCTCTTTCCCTGCCTTCGTTCTCCTCGTTCTTCCCCCTTCCTGCTGCCTATTTCTTTTGCTTCTTGTTGCACTCGAATTAGATCGGAGCAGTGCCTACATGGATCTGCTTCCAAATTGCAAACTTGTAGCGTTGGTCCTTTAGAAATTTTAAAGCAAGTTGGCCCAAATGCATATGTCTTGATCTTTCTCCACCTTGGTTACCACTCTACTTTCAATGTTGAGGATTTAGTCGCTTATAAAAGTCATTTTAATCCCTCCGATCATCCTCCTCTACCGCCATTGTAGACCTTGACCCCGACTTTCTTGCCACTTCTAACTCAATACCACATTTCACAACACACAAAGATAAAATTGATGCTATTTTAGATGAACAAATTGTGTTGACTAAAGATGGAAATGTTCAACGCTTCCTTATTCGTTGGGTTGATCGGCTTGACCTTACTGTACATGGATTACTAGAAAGACACTACAGCAGCTTGACCCAGATTTATTAGAGTTCTATCGGAGTCAGCAAGATCTTTCTTTGCCCAGTTCTCTTTCCACACATTTAGGGGACATTGGTGCGAACACCAGATTTAAACCGCCACTGACACGCTTTTATGGACGTCTGAAGAAGCTCGTCCAACCTCTTAGTTTTTGGTTGGGCGATTGATTGCAGTCTTTTATGACTTATCCACTTGTTAGGGTCAAGTTTTCTCCCACCCCGAAAGAGTTGATGCGGACATCCATCGAGATTTATTTTTATTGTGGATTTTTATTATTTATGTTTTCTATTATTGAGCTTGTTTTGTTGGGTTCGCTCAAGCCCTTCACTAGTAGGGTTATATTTTCGGTTTTTACATTGTAATTGGAACAGTTGATGAATTGATAAAATTGATTTGGCTTGCAGCTAACATTTCTCTTTCCCTACCTTCGTTCTCTCTGGTTCTTCCCCCTTCCTGCTGCCTATTTCTTTTGCTTCTTGTTGCACTCGAATTCTTTAATTCATTCTACATCAGAATCTCTGAAAGTAGAAGCAAGAGATGTAATAAACTTGATTTTACTTGAAAATAAATTTTTAGTTTTCTTCTCGATGCACGAACACTTAAACTGAACAATGACCTCTAGACGTATAGTAAAATCTACTGTAAACAAAGCATTCTTTCTTGACTCCACCTACAGTTTCAAAACATAGTAAGTGACTAAGGTACATAACAGTAAGAAACATTCAATGTAGGACGTATGCCCAAGTTTTGCAACAAATCAATTTCATAAGCATTATCACCAATTTTCTTTTCAGAGCTTAGATATGTTGGAAACTGTTCTTTAATTAGATAAGTCAATCACCATGTTACCCTCTTTGAAGCTTTGAGCTATCCATCGTTTATCTACATGTTCTTGGCATTGGAGTTCGGTTCTTCAGCCTTTTAATGTAATGTGGTCGTGCAGCTTCATTTTTGCAGCCATATTCTTCTTTTACACAAGACTTTTCACATTTTGGCATTCGATATTATCATAAAAGTGGACCGATTTTTATACCATAGACCATCTCAAACGGCTCTTTATAGCAGTTCGATTTTTGGAGTAGTTCTAAGAAAATTCTGGTTGTGCAATGACTTATCTCACTGTTTTGGATTTACTCCAACCAGACATCGTAAAAGGTTTTCCAAACTCCTATTGACAACTTCAAATATAAAGCATTAACATGAATGTAGAATCAGAACAACAAAGAGGAAATCATTCCATTCAACTGGTAAAGGAGATCAAACACAGTTCAACAGAGGAGAGTGGTAGATTATAACCTCAATCCACCATGGCTCCTAGTTTTATTCTTCACACGAAATCAAACGACAGACTGAAACGAGTTAGGAAATTCACACAGATTAATTTCCCGACGACTCCACACGAAATTAAAGCAAAGGCTAAAACAAGAAACGAAAATCACCACATTTTGGTCGAGGCTTAATCACCCAACCACTGGTGCACATACACTCCGCTCTTCCTTAGGTTTTTGAAAAGACTCGTGCAATCTCCACATGTAGTAGTTTTACAATCTTCTTCATTTGAACACCTAAGGAAGAGTTCGTCGACACGGCATATTGCTCCACTTTTAAATAATTCAACAAGAATATTGAGCTCTACCGGCTTTGCATTCATCGCAAGGACCACGAAATCTCCATCAGCAACTGTTTCATTGAACCAGTGAATAAAGTCAAACCCGCCTTCATCTGGTGGTGCACTAAAATATTCATCAGGGTTGATTTCACGAGCAGCATTCTTTCCGGAAAGGATGGGATGATAGATAAAGTTGATACCGGGACCTGTCACACATGAGGAGAGGACAGATGTTCTATGATCAATAACAAAAACATCGAAGCATGCATGGTGATTAGAACAATAGTTTTTGGACATTTTTGCGACACTTTCTTTTGCAAACTCCCCTGCACCAATGTTGATGTACACTAATTTGTTCCTTGAGGAAATGTTCATGAATTTAGCCAGATATGCAGGCTCCAGCTCAAATTGCCCTGACTTTCCATCCGCAAGAGGCTCCATAAACTTCATAAACGCTTTGTTTTCCGTAACTGAAGGGCACTTATCTGGAAGCTGGAAATGCTCAAACGCAGAAACATTTTCGTCTCTCTTCTTAAACACCACCAGCGATGAGGATCCAACACCACATACATAAATAACATCAGAACTCTTCAGGAATGATACGACCGGTGTGGCCAACCTTACCAAGCTACCCGAGTGGAAATTACGTCCTCCCACAAGAATAGCACCAATCCCACCAGAACGTAAAACACGCTCAATCTCCAGAACAAGAAGAGACGGTACAGAAACCCTGTCAAGATCTGTCGAGAACACAAAATCAAAATGATTATTCTCGAAGTTGAGCTCATAAACGAATCTTCTCTGCATAAGGGAGAAGAATGGATGTCTATCTACACCCAAGGCATTGGAAATTCCTAACTCCCGCAATGCCAATACTGTGGAGGCAGATCCCTCCCCAACACATAAAGCTTTAGCATTAGAATCCAACAGATTCTTCTCCATTAGCTCTTTGAACACATTCTTAGTGAAGTTTTGGCTCTCTACGCACGGCATAGGAGTTGTCCCAAAAAGGGAAGACATAAAACTAGGTGCCGGTGTGGGCTTCAGATGCCCGGAGAAATTTAAATCCTGGTTCGAGCCAAAACTCAATGGGCACACATCAATATTCGATAACATTCGCCCAATTATGCCCGCTTCACGGGTCATTTGCATAAACGACAGAATAGTCGTAGCCAGTACAAACATAAAAGCTCTCAGTACCACACGCATGACGAATGATCCACGAATAATTCGCCATTTCAATAAGTTCAAATCCATTTTTAACACTTAAATTCTCTCTTTTAAACCCAAATCCAGATCGTTAAGCAATTCAGAGTACCAGATCTATAATTGCACAGTGATTCATTCAAAGCAAGACACAAGTAGATTATATCAAATCAGAATAAAACCAAACAACGAAGAAAACGAACAATTTAGCGTGTGCAAAATCTGGAGGATGTGTGATTTCCACCCACGAGTAAACCCATTGACATTTGGTACCCAAGCCACACCCTTTTCGGAATCCTCCTCGCCATCGGCTCAAACCACTTGTATCCCATCTTGAATTACTTCATACTTCAAGTAAATTTGAACCCAACTTACATTGTCCGTAAATTTGCACTATCTTCACTCAAATGAATTGTATGACTGTATAAATTAGGGATAGGGTTTGAATGATGGAGCAGGAGATGCAAGTCTCTAAGGTTTAGAATAGTGAAGTGATTAGAGGAGGTTGATGAGATAAAAAGCAAGGGTGTCGTACGAAGGTTCTGGCGGTGTCGGTTATGGCCACGTGTCACACATCCTAGTTATGGGCAAAAATAATTGAATTTGCTTGTGGACTAAGTACCTCATCTTCAAATTGGTGCAACCAAGTCATTCAACTTCGATTTACTTGTAAATCTGATCGTTCTACAAATTGTCGTCTAAATTTAACTAATGTTATATGCTGAACTAGATATTAAAATTAATATATGATCACCATATATGTCAACAATAAATAAACTAAAGCACGTTTATACTGTCAACTATTTGTATGTCAAGGTCAACATGTTTTTCAATTAAATTTACGGTAGTGAACAAAGTGACCAAATCTAAAAGTAAATCAAAATTGAGTGAGTTGATTGCTCCAAATTGAAGATGAATTACTAGATCTATAATCAAATCGAAATTGATTGATATTATTGCATTAAATTGAAGATTAGTGTTTTGATTCGCAAATATGATTGCGAAGATTGATTGTCCCTCCCTAATTGCTTTACATAATTTAGAAATTTATAAAATTGGGATATTCGTTAATCCTAAGAGTTTATGATTAATATAGATGACAATACACGAGTTTTTGACAATTCTTTTCTCTATTAGGGTTAAGTGCTACGAAAAATGAACGAATATAAGTACTTCTTTTTTAAGAGTAAGGATGAAAGTGCAACTCTGATAAAGATTGGGACCTTGCTGCTATTTTTAGTAATTATTCAGAAGAAACGCGTAAGTTGGTCCCACTTTCAAAGGCAATTAGCTGGCAAATATTAATAGCCACATGATGTCCCAGATCCAGATGATCCGAGTAAATCAGTGGTCTGTCCTTCTGTCCCACTTGTAAGTCTTGTCTTGTGAACCCAGCCCAATCGTTTGCGATTCGGCCGCACAATTAGCCTCGAAGTCTGAACAATGCCAGAATCGCCCTCGGCGACCGTGCGATGGATGTAGATCTGAACCTTAGAGCCTATTTGATTATTTAATAGTGGAAAAAAATGAGTTTTGAATAATATTTTTATAAGAATGTATGGTTAAAAAGTATGAAATTTTTTTGATATATATATATAATATTTTATTTTGTAAATGTGTGATTGAAAATAATCTTATAGTAAATCATTAAAAAAAAAAAGTAATGGGTCTCAAACAGCACTTAATGTGACAATATGAGCGACGAGGTGGGGTGAGAAGAATCAAGTAATTGGTCACTGTCCAATTAATTACGTGATTTGTGATCTATTAATTTTTTTTTTTTTGTGACTAGCATGTTTGGCTAAACTTAAAATTCAATTAAAATTGAAAATATAGTTATTGAGTCTCACTCGTCTAATAAAAGTTAACAATAATAGCTAATTTTTCAATTTTAATCCGATTTTAATCTCTACCGTTCTTAATTTGTGATTGTAATTCAAAAATTGTGTTGTATGTGATTATGACTAATAAATTGTGTGATATGTAATTGCAACATGTTTAATTTTAATTATAGGTCACAACATTTATCAGATGTCACAAATGTGACCATTTGATTTTTGAATTTTTTTTATAAATTTCTTAATTTTCAAATTGTATTCTTAAACATTTGTATTTGTATATTTTTCATGTGGTATTTTTTGTTGAAATGTACGTGATGATATTTCATTATTTCGGGAAGACTAAGAGCTTGTTTGGGAATGATATTTAGAAAATTGATAAGTGTATTTTATGCACTTATTCAGACTTCTATTCTTATTTATTACATAAATATTGAGCTAATATGTACTTAATTTATGTTAATTGTGGGAAAAATAATCAACTTGGATACAAATGGTTTTTAAAAAAAATGCTATTTAGACCTTAATTGAAGTATATTTGAAGTAACTAAAGATTAACCAAATTGTTTAAGTGATAAATTGGAAGTATTAATTCGATAAAAGTTCATAAGTTTCAGAAGTTAAATTCTACATTTAGAAAGTTCAAAGATTAAATTGCAAGCTCCAAAACTTGCATCGGATCAATTATTAATGATCTTGGGATGAAGATGACTTAATTGCATGCAAATATTAAAAGATGGAGGACTAAATTAATTGAGAAAAATAATTATTTCATTTTTCTTCTCAAACTCTCAAGTGAAAATCACTTGAACTATGATTTTGTCTAAATCTTGTTCTATTATTATACATGTCTTAGTACAACAACTGAAAAAGACTTCTAGGATTTTCTTATGCACATATATTCATACACAGGCTTGGGAGATTCATTGTACACGTACTATGCACATGTTTATTTTACATTCTTTCAAAATTCTTTTTTCTATATACTCATTTTCAACAACACATTCACACAATAAAATATTTTAATTGTAAACTCAAAATTTTTTATTACTTTTTAATCACATATTCTCAAAAAAATCACTATTCAAAATAATGTTTTTCCAAAAAAAAAAAAAAAGCCACCAAATAGGGGTTAGACAATTCCAAAAGGAGGAAATAATCAAGAAATTAGGGTTTCAAGATTTTATAAGAGAAGAAGAAATCTTGGTATAAGATCTTTATCTTTTTCTCATTTTTCCTTAATATTCAGTAATGTATTTAAATTCACTTTTGATTTATTATTCTCCCGTGATGTATAATTAAATAATTAATTAGGATGAATGATTGTAACGTACTTTAAAAAATTTAAATCTTCAATTGATGTTATGCTTGTGTTTACTTCTATTGTTAATGATTGGATTAATTGGTCACTAACTCATTGATTTGTGAAGGATAATTATGTTGAGAGACAGATTATTTGTTTAGACAACGTAGTAAAAGTCGATAATTTGTATAAAAGTGTAGAGATATATTTTCTAGTTGTTACAGTCGTTACATGGATTTTTAGAGATTTAAGATGTTTAACTAAGGTGTATGAAATTGATTTAGTTAAATAACATCAATTTGAATACGTCAAGAGAATCCGATCGGATACACATAATCTATATTACAAAAATTGGTGATTGATATTAAGAGGATAATTATAGTGAACTCGTGAATTTTGACACTTAAACCATCCTTTAAAAAAATTTATTGTTTTAGTATATGTTAATCAAATTGAAGTTATAAATAATTTAACCAACGGTTAGATAGTAGTTATCGTGGAAATGATAATTCGGATGTTTAGATCCACTTTATTACTTGTTACGATCCGTACACTTATGGCATATAAAATCGACAACAAAAATAATTTTCTTCCAAATCATTTCAACCAAACATTATATGAAATTCCACTTTTTAATTAACCACACATTCTCCAACCAAAATCATTCTTTCATTAAAAAATCTATCCTAAACAAGTTCAAAAGTTACGATAGTTAAGAAATTTTGTGTTTCAAACATTGAACACCAGAGCTGCGGTGGAACTGAAATAAGAAACTTTTACTTAAGTAATTACTTAAATTCTGAGGCATTGGTATCAATATATGTCGAATTGCTCCACATATAGTTCCCTCGAACCACATTTTCTAAACCAACCATAAAATAAAACTGGAGTTAGGAATTGGTTACTGGGTTATTTTACTCTGCAATCTTTATTAGCAATAATTAGTGTCATTAATCCTTATTAAGTCATCTTCTTATCTAAATCCTTAATCTGCTAATAATTCAAGGTCGGGAAAAGCAACCTTGTACAACCCTAACTCAAACAAATACAAATGTTATTTCTTTTTCTAAAACCTATCATAAAATATGAGTTGATATATGCTTCCCCCATTCCCAAATCCCAACAGCTGGAAAGTTGAGTTGTATACTTTTTTTACGAACGAGATAGAAGTAAGCATCTTACCAAGAAAGCAAAAGTAGAGTTCCAATCAAATTTTTAAACAATGCTCCTATATGGAATATTATGGTTTCAATCCAAGATAGAATTCTAAACACATTCTTTTATAAAGAAAACTTGGAAAATCCTCGACCATCTAAACCCTAAAAAGAATCTTGTCACATCATTATTGCGAATTAATAAAAGAACAACTTTCTTGTCAAATAATTTTACGATTTTGTTCAATGAGTTTCATGGCCTCAATCCAACGTCAAGATGATGGAATTTGTTATAAAGATGGAATTTCAATAGTTAAACGCACTCCACTTTTAGTCATTTAAGTTTTCAGACGAGGATGTTCAACAAAGTATTAAAGCTAAGAGCACATATAGATAGATCGTTTACTCAAAATTCATTTTTCTGACATGTCGATTTAATTTGATCGAGCTAGTTAGAGATGTCCTATTGTTTCGATAGTAGAACAAAATCATTGCACAAAATGATCCGAGTACTCAAAATTCATCTTTTCTAGCTGGTCGAAAATTTGTCCGCCATTTCGTCGAACCAGATTGAAGTGACCTAGCCTCTCAAAAGAGAGAGAGCGAACGGGTAATGTTCATGGAGTTCAACTTAAATTTGGGAAGTAAGAAAAGTGGTTAACACATATGACCAAATTTATCATCATCCAAAATTGAATATTAAAATAAGTAAGAGATAATGGTTCTTTACGTAAGATGCACTAGTTACTCGTATTTAATTCAATATTATTACATTATATTTAATTTCTCGTCTAAAGTTTGACAAATGAAATTTTGCATGAGAATGTGAAATGTAAAACTTCAACAAAAGACCTTTTACTTACTCCGTTATTACATTGATTCACATAATTTTAGGATTATAGGTATGAACGAATTTTTGTGGCCCGGTGGGGTTTTTTATTTTATATTCGATGGCAATCATTTTTCTACTTATAAATAGTGTCTTAAGACTTGTGTTAAACTAGTAGAAATATGCGTTTAGATTGTAGTTTTAACCAAAATTGAAGAAAAACTTACAATAAAACCAATGGTATTGTGTCGCTATTGACTTGAGAGAATAAAATCGCTAGTATTGACATGAAGATGGGAGTGTTATGAAATTTGGGCAATTATTGATATTTGGTAATAGAAAATTGACCAAATTCTTAGACGAGTTCATGCCGTCGAATGAATATGTCAAAGTTGATATAAGAAACTATAAGACATACGGATGAAATGATCAAACCACCAATGCCATTACCAAAAGAGAGTATGAAAAAGTGGGAGAGGGGTCGAAAGAAGTGTCCGTTTCGACTCTGAAAACCTTTTTTTTCGTTTTTGGGAATAATTTTCTTAATTATAATTAAATTAAAATTTTAATTCCGTTTAGAGTTAATCAATATCTTTAAATATTATTATCATCAAGAATCAGTCGTTATTTAAGAGTTTAGTTATTATCTAGACTTTTTATGTACTATTTTAAACACGAGTCGTAAGTCTTGATTTTAATAAAGAATTTTGAGAAATTTCTGATATTTCAAATCAACAAATTTGAGTGTTCGTGAAATTTTGTTGTTTCCTATAAACTTTCGCTATCTCATTATGTAAGGCTAGAAATTGAAAGAAAACGGTATTAGACTGCCTACCCACTGAAATAGCAAAGCGTGATAATGAACAAAGCAAAATGTAAAGAAATGGATGCTGGCATAATGCAGTACACGTCTTCAATGGCCCAACAGTCGACGACTGTCAACTTAAATCCAATAAACGTGGTTGACACACATGACCACATCTTTACCTATATTTTCCCATGAAATAGACTGCTCTAATAATTCAAATGTCATCTCTTTGAGTGCGCAAAAAACCTTTCAAAAGACTGATTGAATCGGATCGAGATTGTTGCCTATGAAAACTATTAAGGTAATTAGCACATAACGTCCCCACCTTTCATTGTTATCGTGAAAAGTGCTATTACCTTTTATTTTTTGACATTTTTTTATTTAAATACAAGGGTAAATTTATTATTTCACAGTTCTTTATTGAGAAAATTAATGAAAATAGATGAAAAGAATGGTTTGCACAATCAGATACGTAATTAAGAGCGAAAATGAAAAAAAAATGAAAGATAGAGATTTTTTTTGTAATAATAGTAAAAGGTAAGAACATTATGTACTAATTACCATTTTAATAATTGATTTGGAACTCATTTGCTCTTTTCAAAAAAAATGGACTATGATTGCAATTAGTTTTTTTAAAATTTTGTTTTATTTAAAGAAAATTGTATTTTCGTCATTTTACAATTTTTAATTAAGAAAGTGGATGAAAATGACCTTTTATACAATGAAATGTGAAAATAAAGGTGAAAATGCCAAAAAATGAAAGTTATGGACGTTTTCCACAATAATAATAAAAGGTGGGGACGTTATGTGCTAATTACCCAAACTATTATTATAACTTGAGTTCTTCTTCTTCTTTTTTTAATCACGTAAGAGTCGTGTGAGATAAAAGTCTCATGAACAATTTTGAATGAGTTAAAGAAGTGAGAAATTCTCTTTCAGACTATGATTTCTCAACTTCAAAGTCGTTGCTTTTATTTTTGTTACTTTGAAAGTAGTTGTTCAACTTCAATCACTCGAATTTTCAATATTTCTTTTTATTTCTCATATACAACAACATTTTCTTCTGAAAATGGGAGTTTAATTTCGAAAGAAGCATTTAAGAAATTAGAAAAGTTTCATCATTGAGTGACAAACAAAAAGTTTATGAAAGTTTACAATCCCACAACGGAATAGTGCACATACATGTCTTCATCGATGTTGTTTTACGACGGATCATAGACCACTAAGAAATTTTCAAAATCATTGTTTTAAAAAGCAGCGCTTAGTCGTGAGGCAGGATCAAAACACCCCTCCTCGAACTTTATTATTATTATTATTATTATTTTGCACATCTAACCGCGCTTTTTTTATGCTTTTAAGGTTTTTTTCTTTAATTACTATATGATTTTTAGATTGATTTAAATATTTAAAATAATAATAAAATAAGAAAAAAATTTACGCTATTTTATGTTTGGGTTCGCTTGGCTCGAAGTTTGACCTCAACGCCTTGCTATGCTTTACGCATTTTAGAACGTTGCTCAAAACTAATGCTCAACATGTATCAAATGACCAAACTTGACTATGCTTGTACAAAATGTGACCTACAATGCGTTAGATTATAGTGATCTGACTTATTTCACAATACTTAACCATCATCTTCACACCCCTCTCCCCCCCCCTCTCTCTCTCTCTCAAAATATACGCCTTCTTTTCCTTTAAGAATTTGTGTGACAGTAGAGTGAGCTTAACAGTTGGTGATTATGATTAAAAGTGAAGACAAGAACCAGTCCATAACTGAGACGGATGAAAGGGAAGTTGCAATTTCAATTCCTGAGGTAAACATTTGTTCTTTCTTCATTTTGTTTCTGCAAGATGCTCTTTAATAATTGATTGTTGTGGAGAATCTTAAAAAAAAAAAAAAGTTAGTTAATAGTATTATTTATCATGATTTAGAAGCATTTTATCTATCTTTAATAAATTATAATTTGTCTATTTACTCGGTTTTGCAGTTTCTTGAATGCATCATCTATGGTTCTTTGGTGTGTAAACATGTTTTAAAATTTTAGCTTATCACTACTTCATTTCTTCTTTCTACTAAATTTTGAACTGCCTGGGAGGTTGAAAACAATATCAAAGCCCAGGCCAAAAGTCGAACCACCACGTCTAAAAGCTTTCAGATGACTAACGGGCTTTGTTCTTTGTCATTTTCAAGGATTTTGGGTAGGGTCTTGTTTGACACACTTTAACATTACATTCTAATCCTGCTTCACATGGGAAAGATCCAAGACTTGGAAAAGGCATCATCTGATGTTTAGTTTCTGAGCTTCATAAAATTCTCTGTTTTTTCTTTTAATGGGAAACGTCTGCAGTAAAGAATTTACTTGTCCATTTATTTTCACAGGAGCAGATTGTAAATTACTTTAGGTCTCATCTGTTTATTGGCAAATATCCTGTAATATATTCCAATCTCTCCGTCCTTCAAGGGGCGTAATTCATATTCATTCAAACTGTGTGACTTTCACACCATGCGAAAGTTTGGCGTGGGAAGAAATTTTTTAATGTCGTTTTCTCTGGGATTAAGAGAAACTATATATAGATTGTGACGTGCCTTGAATGTGGAAATACTCCTCATAATCTAGACTCACCGGATTGAGAAAGATACGCACATGTGATAGTTTTCTAGTTGGAGTAAGAGTCGAGTAGAGAAAAGGTCTTACAAGAACGATTGAAAAATCTGTAATGCCGATTACTGCACTGTACTAGTATGATATTCACTAGTGATAGCTTCAAAACTTGGTGCAGTTAAGGATGGAAAAAGCCAAATGGCCAGGTGCCCTGGCCAAGTAGCAGGGTCCGTTAAGGATAGAATTGAGTCAATTAAACTTAAAGAAGTCATATCTCGAGATTAATAGGGAAAAAGAGTAGAAAGCTGCGATTTTAATGGACGATTTTCTAGTAGATTAATAAATATATATGTAAATTTGAAGTGCTGTGTTGCAGCGTCTATTACCTCTCAATCGACTGATACAACAGCTAGTTTTTTGCAATCTAATTACTTACTCATTATAGTAACTCGTGATTTCTAGGTCCTAGCATGCATATCTCTATAACCAAATTAAATGCTTATAGTTCGTCTGCCTTACCAGTAAATTTCCTTTTTGATGCTTACAATATTTACTGAACCACAACTTGAATAACTAACCAAGTTCTTTCCATTTTCAGGAAGAGAAATCCTCCGGGATAACAAGTGAATCATCGAAAGTTAAACATTGGAAGAAACCGAACCTTTTCTTGGAGATACCTAGCAGAACATTGGAGTTATCCCGTCAAGAGTTTGTTCAAATAAAGATGCCTCCTACGCCGACTCCAACTCCCACTCCCACTCCCAAAAGAGTGAATTTCCTTTTAACGCCTAGCCCTTCTCATGCAAAATTAAGTGGATCTCCTTGTCCCTCATCCAAAGCCAGACCATCCATCAAGAATTTGCTGCCAAAACTAAGCTTCAAGTACAGGAGTTCTAATCCCGATATAGAAAAGACTGGTAATCTTGATTCAGGTTTGTCAACTGCCAGGATGCAAGATAATCCATCCATATCGAAGTCATGGTCACTAACAAAAATTTTTACACCTCGTATGAAGAAGACAACATCCTTACCTGTAACTCCAATTGCACATTCAAATCCGGACTCTGTCCGTGATGGAAATATAAACAGTTCTCAACCCCTTGATGTAAGTTATTTAACGCTTGATGTTGTTATTTGGGAAAAAAACTTTATAAGGATTTGAATCAAACACCAATCCCTATGTGGCACTTGATCTTGGCTTACTTGCATAGCAAGTGGAATGGCTATGGCTATGGCCATGTACAAGGCCTCTAGCTGCTACTAAAATAATGGGAGCTAAACATTCAACAGTAGAATCTTGAGAAACTTGATAACCGTTATTTTTCCATTTTTTAGTTTCATACAGCTTATTAGTTGAGTCGTCTGGTTCATAGATTGAAATGTTCATATCGGTGAATGTTTCTTGTAGACAAAAGTTGCTCAGCGGCATATGTCCAGGTCACTTTCTGTCCCCGACCTCACCAAGGACAAAAGCACCCGGAAAATTGATTGCTTCTTTCGTGTGATTCCCTCAACTCCTCGAGTGAAGGATGGCACTTCAGAAGTGTCAACGGTGACAACACCTGGAGCATCTGGTAATTTTGTCTACAAGTGTCATGATTAGACATTGGAAGCTATTTATACTTCTATATATACTTAACGCAGTAGAACATTTTTTTCTATGAAGAACGTTGACATATCAAATTTGTTTAGCATAGCACATGCCCTGTATGCATATGCTCCCCTAGCCTTGTTTCATTTTGACCTAATTTCAGTACCAGATTTTAATATCTTGTGCTTATTTCAACTGCTGAAGTTGCAAATAAGCTTTTATTACTTGCAATTTTTTGCAGTTGGATAGAATACGTTTATGAAAGTTTTTGTTGGCTGCATTTCCAAATGTTTTTTTATTGCCCATTTATGACGTTGCTGTTCTATGTTTTGATAACCTCATCGAACCAGATAACAATGAAGATGATGGTGAAGATATACCTGAAGAAGAGGCAGTTTGTCGAATTTGCCTTGTTGAACTATGTGAAGGTGGAGAAATGCTTAAGATGGAATGTAGCTGCAAAGGTGAACTAGCTTTGGCTCATCAAGAGTGTCTTGTAAAATGGTTTAGCATAAAAGGTAACAAGATGTGTGATGTTTGCAAGCAAGAAGTTCGAAATCTACCTGTCACACTTCTGCGCATCCAAAGTACTATAAATCGCAATACTGAAGCAACTAGCTTTCAACATATAGAAATCCACGGATACAGGCAAGTGCTAGTATTAAATTCTGTGTGAATTTAACAGAACTTAGAGAGCTTTTCTATGGCTACCAAACAAATAAACATCATTATTCTGGCTTCAAACAATACTATCTTTCAGCTTCTTATTTTTGTTTGTCATGTTGGTCATCCACTAAAACAATCTCACTTTGCTCTTTGAACTTTTTCCCTTGAAAACGTCAAGAACTCAACATGTTAAAGCCCCTTAACACTCAAATTTTGATAGTATATAAATAGACTGTTGCCTGAAGCTTTGTTTTTTTTTTTTTTTCCTGGAACAGAGTTTGGCAAGAAGTGCCGATTCTTGTCATCATTGGTATGCTGGCCTACTTCTGTTTTCTTGAGCAGCTCCTGGTAAGTTGACAACTTTTGATCAGATTGAGATCTTCCAGTTGTGTCTTCATTTATGTTTTAGTTTACTTGCAGGTTAACAAAATGGGTGCAACTGCAATTGCCATATCGCTTCCCTTTTCTTGTGTGCTTGGTCTTCTCTCATCTATGACCTCTTCAACCATGGGTATGTTAAAATTTTAGTTCCAAATGGTTTGTAGATTTGAAATTAAAAATTCTGGTGCAATATCTTCCTAGTTTCTTATTCGTGATTATTTCTAACTAAATATTTTTACATTTATAGTAAAGAGAAGATTTGTCTGGGTATACGCATCTGTTCAGTTTGCCCTCGTTGTTCTCTTTGCTCATATCTTTTACTCCTTGGTAAGGATCAATACTTCTTATACGGTTATACCTCAGTGTCTTTCTCGGTTAAATTTAACTTTTTAGGATTAAATATCATATTTCGCCATTGAGGTGGACGAATACAAAACTGTACAAAAAGGAAAGAAAAAAGTGAATTTGATCATTTACTGTCTTATTTGTTACTTTTGCAACTGGTAGGTTCATGTGCAATCAGTTTTATCAATTCTCCTCTCAACGCTTGCGGGATTTGGTGTTGCAATGAGTGGAAGTTCTATTCTCGTAGAGTTCCTGAGATGGAAAAGGCGCCGACATGCTGTTACAAATCAGAATCAAATGAGTGGCCAAGTCGTGTTAAATCAGACTAGGTGGCCTCAAATGAATCAAACTGCAATGCCATCTTATCAAACAGAAGCAGAAAATCCAGAAACGTTTAGCGACAGATGATCAGAATCAAATCAACAATCTGCAAACTGAGGAGTTCTTGTATTTATACAAAGACGCGGTAGAATTTTCAGTATGTTTGCATATTGTTTGATCTCCTACTAGGTTGAAATGGAAAATAGAGAGACTAACGGCCAAAAATGATGCAGAAGCTTCAAATTTTCATACATGCTAAAGATTTGGAAGGGAAACAGGAAGATTGATCTATCTGTATTTACTAATCCTAGCTCCTCTACATTATTTACCTTGTGCAATTTACAGTATATTTCAAAACTTCAAGCTCAATTTATAATTTACTGCCACAAAAGAAAACATGAAATTTTTTAAACAAGCTTACTTGATTCAACTTAACTCGAGCTCGATTAAACTTAAATTAGAACAAGGGTTTATTTGACTTAACTCGAGCTTGATTAAGCATTTTTCTTTAATAACGATTTTCGTTCAAAATTTTGTTAATATGCTTTAAAATGAGGGACAAATATTTAATTGCAATTGTAGTTTTTTTTTTTTTTTTTTTTTTTTTGCTTAATGAAAAATGTGAATTTCAATTAAGTCTTTTTACTTTCTCTGAAGGGAATATTTGGATGAACACCTGGGATAATATTTGTTAATTAATGAAAGATTGGAGATAAAAATGAAATGAAAAAAAGGTTGAGAATGTAATTGTGATAACGAATAAAGTTTATAAGCCTTTTATATGATTATAAAAATATTATGTGATATATTAAACCTTTAATTAATTGAACAAAAGTCATTTTCAAAAGAACAAATTATTTTTAAAAAAATTTAAATGAAAGGCCTTCTTCTCACTATTTAGTATTTACACAATGAAAGGGTTCTTTTAACAAATTCGTTAAAATATATATTTTTGGACAAACACCTGAGATAATATTTGTTAATTAATGAAAGACTGGGGATAAAATGTGTTGACGTCGAAAATTGTATAAACAAGATTCAAGTCAACTTAAAATTTAAATAAGAATTTCATTGATAATGATTTTTCTAATTACAATTGTAATTAGAAATGTTTGCTATTTCTTTTCTTCAATGAGTTATTTGAAATGTGAAGTGTCTTTCGCTCCTTTTTTCATGAGGATACCTTCCTCCTTTTTATAGGGAGGGATAGGCATCTATACATTATGTTCTTGTCTTATCAACTACAGTATCGAGTTGAGAAGGTATGTTAATGACATATTTTGATTGGTTGATAAGGTCGGCTCTAGCAGGTCATCATGAATATATTTTGCATGTGCCCCCAGTAATTAATGAACTAATCAAGAAATAAAAGATTGGTATAATTAGGAGATGCTGTCATGAGCCTATCCAAATGTAATTGATTGATTTGACGTTTGACAGTGTGTAATGAATCATCAATCATTATGTCTCCTCAATAACGACGGTCATTAGTACGAGATGACCCCAAATATCCGACCTTAAATTAGCATGAGTTTAATGCATATAACAAATTGTATTTAATAAGGTCGCAAGTCGAATATCAACAAAACGAAATGAAAAAATAAAAGTTGAGAATGTAATTGTGATAATGAGCGAAGTTTATAAACCTTTTAGATGAGTATAAAAATATCGTGTGAATATATTAAACCTTTAATTAATTGAACAAATTCTTTTAAAATTTTTTAAATGAAAGTCCTTCTTCACACTATTTACACAATGAAAGGGTTCTTTTGACAAATTCGTGAAAATATATATACTAACGCTCTTAGAACGGAACTCTCTTCATTATTCCGCCTTCACTCAGCACCAGAGTGAGAGAAGCTTTCGCAGAGAAATCACAGAAAAAAGAGGAATTGAAAACGAAGAAGAAAGAAATAAGGAAAGGAGAATGAAGATAGAAGAAGTACAATCCACCACTAAGAAACAGAGAATTGCTACTCATACTCATATCAAAGGCCTCGGACTCGAGGTACCTTCTTCTATTTTTGTACTCCTTTTTTATGACTATTATGCTGTATATTTTAAGAGTACTCAATTTTCTCTTCTTACACCTCTTCCATGTGTTCGTTTTTGCCTCCGTTGAGAATTTAATTTTTTTTGTAGGTTTAGTTTTAGTTGGTTTTGTGTGTGTGTGTGTGTAATAGCAGTGCTTATAGTTTTTGGTTTCATGGCTTCTGGAAAAAAAAACGTTATCTGTTAATGGGCCTTGTGTTACCTTCGACACTTCAAAAATTTTAAGCCAAAACTTAAAAAATATAAAAAAAATTGTTTTTCGTTTTTTATGTAAGCATTGCTAAATTAGGAAAATAAATAGAAGAAACAGAAGAAGAATTCTTCTGAAGTTTAAAGATTCAGTCTTTATTGTCTGGATTATATGTACTATTAGAAGGAAGATCAATTATTTCTTTAGTAATTGTTGAAATGGTATTTTAGGGTCTGTTACTGGTCTTCAAACGATTGAGTGAAGATATATACAGAGCATCTACTGATTTCTTCTTGTTTCCTGCTGATTCTTGTAGCCTAATGGAAATGCAATACCTCTGGCTGCTGGATTCGTGGGTCAGGCAGCTGCCAGGGAGGCTGCTGGCCTTGTGGTCGATATGATACGTCAAAAGAAAATGGCTGGACGTGCGTTATTATTTGCTGGTCCTCCTGGTACTGGAAAAACTGCTCTTGCCCTTGGAATTTCCCAAGAACTTGGTAGCAAGGTTTTGTTCACGTGAATCATTACTTGCATTTCGGTCTTCGTAGTTTTTCGTTTTAGCTTTATTTTGGTACTGAAATTAGTATGATAATGCTTATTAACTGGTACCATATTCTTCTCTTACCTTAATTGAAGGTTCCTTTCTGCCCAATGGTTGGATCAGAAGTGTATTCATCTGAAGTAAAGAAGACAGAGGTTCTAATGGAGAATTTTCGACGTGCTATTGGCCTCCGTATTAAGGAGAACAAGGAGGTTTATGAAGGGGAGGCAAGTTACGAGCCATCAAGATCAATTTTTGTGTTCTTATAAAATTTGTGCTTTTAATTATTTGCTTTATCCAGCTTTTTAAGTCTTGTCAGCTACTTCTACTGTAGGTGACTGAATTATCTCCAGAAGAAACTGAGAGTGTGACAGGTGGATATGGTAAAAGTATAGGCCATGTTATAATTGGTTTGAAAACTGTCAAAGGTACAAAACAATTGAAGCTGGACCCAACAATATATGATGCCTTGATTAAGGAAAAGGTGAGCTCCTCTGAAACCTCTTTCTTTCTGGGAAAATTTCTCTGGTTTTACCTTATATTGTGTTTCACTCAATGTTACTCTTTAGTATCTTGTCATTATAGACAGGACCTTCCAAAATGTCTTTGTATGTTACATTGTGCATCAATTCTAGAGGGTGTTATGAGAATACCTTTTGATATCTAAACAGTACCTCTTCACCACGCTTATTTAATTATGAAATTTATTGTTTACATTTCCTAACTGTACTTTTAATGCTACAAAACCTCCAGGTAGCGGTTGGTGACGTTATATACATTGAAGCAAATAGTGGAGCAGTTAAAAGGGTAGGAAGGAGTGATGCTTTTGCAACAGAATTTGATCTCGAGGCAGAAGAATATGTTCCACTTCCTAAAGGAGAGGTTCACAAAAAGAAGGAGATAGTCCAGGTGTGACTGTCTTCTGCAATATGGTTTTATTTAATTTTTTGTAGTGCTAATTGTTACTTTTAAATAAGTTGGAAGTCCAAACCCAAAAAGAATTTTGTTAATATCCCAATTCCTCAGTTAGGTTTACTTCTACTTCAGGTGTTTTGAGCATTGTATAGATATTTTCATTAAATCGTTAATTTCATCATTTGTGTGATATTAGTTGGGATTCTGGATTGCAGCCTGCACATAATTTGATTTTTTAAACATTTTTGATTCTTAATAGATCAAATTTTGTCCTATCTTGCATGTTCTACGCTTTCTCCCGTCTAGATTTTATATGAACATATGATTTGTTGCATTAGTTTAATTTCCGTAGTTCCTGCTTATGTCTTGTTTATTCCTTTTATCATGTGGAGAATGTTGAACCGCTTGATTTAAAAGTTTAATTTGTTAAATAGGGTCAAATGTATATCATTAAAATATTATCTTCAACACGCTTTTCAATCAAAGTCTAGGTGATGGTGAGACTTGAACTCAGGACTTTTGTGTGCTTTGATACCACGTTGAACCACTAGATCTAAAAACTTAAGTTGGTAGATAGGATCAAATGTATGTATTTAAATATTATCTTCAACAAAATTCTTACAAGTTATCTATTATGGCTTTTGGTGCGTAAGATATTAGAGGGCTGAAGTTATGTCATAACATATTTTCGGGATAGTATGTGGTGATTCTCGTAATAGGCTTTACTACGTGGGTGTTGTTTCATCATGAGAATAAATGCATAGAGGGAGGAGGTAAGGCTTCAAAATTTTATTGAACATCCAATTAGCTTATGTAAATATTGCTACCTTACCAGGATGTTACATTACATGATCTTGATGCTGCAAATGCAAGACCTCAAGGTGGACAAGATATATTGTCCCTGATGGGTCAGATGATGAAGCCCAGGAAAACAGAGATTACTGACAAGCTACGGCAAGAAATAAATAAGGTACATGTATCATGTTTCAATGGAACTCTTATCGTATACTTTCTATGGTTGTGATGTCACGTCTTATTGAAGAATCATGAAACAGCTATAGATTATGTCAAGGAACAACTTCTGGATTATCAGAAACTATATTATTGTAGATTTTTCAAATCATTGTGCACTTATACAATTAATTGATCGCAGGTTGTTAACCGTTATATAGATGAAGGAGTAGCAGAACTTGTTCCTGGTGTATTATTTATCGATGAGGTATTTTTTTCCTTATAAACCCATACATTTAGATCCTTAAATTGTATGCAGATATCTTTCCTTAACACACTAAGCTTAACTTAGGTACATATGCTGGACATGGAGTGCTTTTCATACTTGAATCGTGCTTTAGAGAGTTCATTATCTCCTATAGTAATTTTTGCGACAAA